GCGGCAGCAGTCAGTTGAGGGACGCCAGCAGAGACGCTGTGCGGGGTATTCAAGACGTTCAAGAACGTTTTGGCCGCACGGACGACAGGGCCGATTTCCCGCGGGTCGCTGTTTACTCCAGAACAGAGTCCAGCCACAACGACGGGGGAGCCCCGTTGCTCGCACATTTTGCTCAGCGCCACGAGAAAACTCGACATGTCACCCCCTCCCAACGACGTGTCGACGGGGCTTCCCCCCGCCGTTCATTGCCGCCGCAACAAACAGCCAGCGAGCGTGCCGCTTGAAAGACGATGGTGCGTGTCGGTCTCACCACCCGGACGCATAAAGCGCTGAAACAATTTCTCCGACTCGGCGACGCACGGACCCCCCGCAGAGCGACTCGCAAGCGCCGCCCCGCAACAGCCGAATGCAGCGCGTGCACGCCACATTTTGGTTCCCCGAGCCTCGTCCCAACAATTGCCCTTCACCGTCCGCCTCCTGCCCGCGATGACGCGTCAACAGCAGGACGCCCTTCGACGAGTAGAAAAAATAATAATTAAAAAACAACAAAAGATGCAAAGGCCGCAAGTACAACTCCCCTTAAGAGACAGCACCTGTGCCCACGCACGCCCACACGCAGAGCTACTAGTGCGAGGGCGGTGAGGAGGAAGAGACGTCTATTCGCTAAAGAATTCCAGCGCGTCCTCATCCGCGTCAACTGACTTCGCGTCACTCGCCGCAGGAGGCAGCATCTGCACGCGCGATGGCGCCGCAGTCGGTGGTGTCACGAAGGCCACTTTCCACACGCCGGCGTCCTCGTCACGGTACAGGAGGTGACAGCCCTCCGCTTCCATTTCAACCGGCGCATCGTCCAGACAAACGCGGTCCGCCATCGGCACTACACGCAAGGGGGGAAAAAATAAAAATAAGTGGAAGGGAGAAAAGCCACCATTGGTGCAGCCTTGGCCCGCAGCAAAGACAGAGGACTCCACACATCCCTATTCACCCGTCCACGCCTCGTGAGAGTTTTAGAGTTAAAACAAAAACAAAGCATGTAGGCAAACATCTATAAAGATGCATTGAGGTGCACAACACACGCACACAAATTACAAGGAAGAAATCAGAAGAAAACAAATACACGCGTCAATCCAAAGGCATTAGTAGATAAGCCTACATACACCGACAAATAAAGAATATATACACCATGTCAAGGAGGCTGCAATCTCACATACGTGCGCAGCACTTCTGAAACTTTTCCGTGCCTTCGTCATCTGTCAATCTCTTTAATAACGGGGGCCCATCTCATTGCGGGAATCTGCGCTCCTTTTGCCGCATTCTTACCCTAGACGCCAGCACTCTCAGGGTGCTGTCCCCACGGCAGGGTCAGAGCACCCTCCAGCTCCTGCGTCGTACCCCTATTTGCAGCTTCCTGCAGCCCCGCTTTGCGTTCGTTCGTACTGACCGCCTCGTCAATTTATTTGGTTAAGTTGGCAGCGGAAACGGCCCGCAATTCTTCGTCGGCTGGTCGCCTATCATACTGCATCTGGGAGATGCCCACACACCCTCGCACGTCATCTGAAATGGCGTAAGAAATAGCGGAAAAAAGTAGCTGCCGCCCTGAGTCTCCCCAAAGAGGAGACTTGTTGGGTGTGGCCCGCAGGTTGTCCTCCGAAGCGGCGCATGGCACTTTCACTGTCGCCGCTTGGCGTGGGTCGGCGTGAGCAGCGCCGTTGTAGCCGGGGTGTGGGTTCTTCAAGGGAACGGCAGTC